CAAAAAACCAGCAAGGCCTTGTCCTTCCATGAACGTGCGAAACTGAAATTCCCAGAGTGCGAAGTTCTTCGAATTCAAGCGCGTGCTAATGCTATCAGTATCCATTGCAGAAGGCTCTGATACCATGTTAATCGAGACAAAGAGTTAATCGAAACGAGTGCGATAGGGACGAGATTTACGTGGTTTCCTTGTTCTTTGCAGAACAAGACTAGTCCACGGTCAAGCTAGCTCTTCTCTTATTTCTCATAGCTCAACACTGTACACTAATGGTACATATATACAAAGGGTTTGATTAACCCTAATCACCTCATTCGGCCATTATCATGGGCCGAACTCGGTATGGGCCGAAGCCCTACAATTCATCTCTCAACAGTGGAGGATTTTTTTTCTTCCATAGTTGTAATATCAATACATCATATTGCCGCAAACAATAGTGATTAATTCTGTTGATGAGCGATCTATAAGATATATGATGGAGATTCATGACTCAACTTTCTTCCATTTCAAATTTTCTGCAACCAGAGTGAAAGTAGGAAGGGTACTTTCGTCATTGCAATTGTTTATTTTTTTATTTGAAAAAAATATCAGTGTCAAGATTTGAACCCGGGTCTCTTCTAACAAGGACAAGAGTCATAACCAATAAGACTAAACAAATTTGTTGCATTTATTTATAAAAAAAACATACAAGAGGCCAAATTCTGAAAATCAAATGACTTTTCCAGCACAGTTAGCTACCCCACTAAGTCTTTCTTAAGCATTTTTAGTGTTGGATCTTTGATTATCATTTATTATTATTTTATTTTGACTTCAATAATAATGGTAGTCTATCTTATAAATGGAGGATAATCTTAAAGCCGCAATCCAAATATCATTTATTCGAATATTGCATATCAAATTACAATATTAAATATATATGTGCACACACAACCACATATATATGGGTCAGACTGGTGTACTCCTGGAGTATATTATACTTCAGGTACTCTTCGTGAGATATCTCTATCTAGACCATGATTTTTAACCGAGTTTGGGGTATGATACTCTACCCTAACCTCTAATGGATAAACCCCAGGCCCCGATTCTCTAAACTCAAACCCAAAGTTTAATTTAATGGAAAATTATAATTGACCATTGAGATTGATTGGAGCTCAACAAAGTACATCTAATGTCTAGATCATGTGGAGTATACTATACTCTTGGAGTATACCAGTATACTATACTCCTGTAGTATACCAGTATGTGTGTGTGTAGTGTTTTCTATCATATTTTGAGTAAAATCAAAAGGTAACTCATACCCTTGGTAAGAAATGGCAATCTAGACTTTGAATTAACCTGATTTCGAGACGAGACACTATATTCTAACCCTTGACGAGTGAACTCTAGGTCTTAACTATTTAAATCATAGATCCTAAACCAAGGATTATAAAACCTCATCAGAGGTTGTACCGAAAAAGTCGGCAGGAGGGTATTTTATGTGAAAACTGTGGTTAACCGTGATTCAGTCGTTTCACAACACTACATAGTGCCTACTGGTTTAGTCGAACCCCCGGTACGTTAAGGGTTTTCAATCCTTGCCCTAAACACTAAGATTATGCACATAATTTTTTTGATGTATTTTGATGAAACACGACCTTCGATTATTGTTTCTAATAAAATTGATCTTAGTATATGAGCTTCATAGAATTAAGACCTAGATTTTAATCTGTAAGGGCTTAAGGTATAGTACCATGTCCCTAGCTCCGGCCACTAGACATCATTTTCATACTCAGAGTATATCATTCAAGGTCTATATATCATTTCCTTATGTCATTTTCTTAATCAAAATATGATAGAACCACCCATACTTATAGTTGTGTTATCCTGCTGGAAAGTCATTTGTTCTAAATGTTAGTTGGTTGGACTGCAGTTTTATCAGGGTTGTATGTTGTTTGAAACATTTTGAACTTCATTAGTCCAATATTTTTAGTACTCCTATATTATTTAGGGATAATATCCTATTTTGTGTTGAACTTTGATGTAAATAACAATTTTGGCATGAACATTCAAATAAGATAGTTTTGTCCGAATTTGAAAGAAATTAACAAATTTGGTCGGTTATTAATATTGAGGGTCAAACATTTCTTTTTTTTATGACTCAACATACAATGTTAAGGTGACTGTGGTGTGACTTTCACGTCATAGGTATAATATGCTATTTTGCCCTACACTTTCAAATAAGACAGTTTTGTACGAATTTTCAAAGAAATGAATAACTTTGACCCAAAATTTAGGTTGCCGTTAATATTGATGAGAGGGGTACAAAGAGAGATAGCTTCGTGCTTTGGGATTTTTGGGGGCCTGAATCAATTTCTTTTTCCTTTTAATATGATTTATGCAAGTAAATATGAAAATATTAGGATATACTAAGGGTCCTATTTTGTGGTCTTTTTTTCTTCTGAAAAATTCACTTTTTTAGACTTTATAAATAAATGACTTGGAAGCCACATCGCAACCGAAACCTCTCTATCACAACTGTCAATATTAAAGGTCAACCCAAATTTCGGACCAAATTTGTTCATTTCTTTCAAAGTGCAAACAAACCTATCTTATTTGAAAATTCGAGCCAAAATTGTCTTTTACATCAAGTTCATGCCAAAATAAGGTATCATCCCTATGACATGGAAGCCACATCGCAATCGCAACCACCTGAGCATTGTATGTTGAATGGATGAAGAAATTTTTAACTTTTAATATTAACGAACAACATAAATTTCAGTCCAAATTTGTCCATTTCTTTCAAAATTTTGAAAAACTGTCTTATTTGCAAGTTCATGTCAAGTTTGGCTTTTACGACAAACTTCAAGGTCAAAATAAGGTATATCCCTATTATTTATGGTCAACTTACCAATCAAAGTAGTCAGTGAAAGTATCAGCAACACTGACAAAGACAAACATATGTAATTCAAAATTAGTTGCACTCAGCCTTAAGTTTGAAGCTCTCTTGAGAACCCGGACTATTTTCTAGGCATCTTCGGGGACTACGACTAGCATGCTTCCAAACCAGCTGATCCTTATTCTACTTTCTATGAAGAGGAATAATATGGGTGTATCTGTTAGACATTAATTAGGGTTACAAATGATCTCATTCCTAAAATCTGTTAGAGACCAATCTTTTTCTTTTCTTCTGAGGGTTCATTATGTATGTTTTAGGAAAAACAACTCTAATCTTGAACTATTTGCCATTTTTAAGTATTGAAAACCTATTATTTTGTATGTTTTTCTTTTCTTCTTTGAACAATTATATTTCTTTTTTCAGTGATATGTCGTATCTTCCTATTATATTGTAAGCATGTTATATGAACATATTTTTTGTCTAGACTTTCCCGGCCAAGGGGCCGGGCCCGGTACTAGTTACAAAAAGAGATGAATGAATAACCACATAGAGCAGAACCTCCTTGTATCTTGATTGGGTATTGGGCTTTATGAAGCTCACATTTTGTTTGTGTTGAGTTGGATGGGCTTTGGTGGATTTAGGCAGGACGCGGCCCAGGAAATGGGTCTCTGACCAATATGACGCAGCTCATTCACGTACTGGAAGGCGAGCAAGAAATGTGCGGAATCCTTATCCTTTTCGAATACATAAATGGTAGTGTGTACTGTGTACCATGTGGTACTAGGTCTACTCCCTAGCTAGCAAAATCGACGTGTGGGGAAGAGTAACTGTGATGGCTACTGGTTTGATGGTATACTATAGGGGATGAAGAGGGACGACTAGAATAAGGACCACCTAGGAGAGAGATGGATAATGCATTTACCGCTAACTACATAGCATTACTTCTCAAATATGTATCTAGTTCGAGTTTAGTCCAATCTCTTGATAAATGTATATTGTATGGAGAAAATAGACATGATGCAATTTATGGAACATGTATGATTGTTCATTGAGATAAAGTTTTTCTGCAATCTCAACCGTTATATGTACGAGGTGATTTCTATATAATAATTAACGCTTTCAACCTTTCACATCAATCTAACTGAAGCGATGAAATCACAAGAAGACTTCGGCATATATACCCACCAACAAACTGGCCGGACACCACAAGGCCGGCGAGGTATTTGGAATTGAGGTGCGTTGCCTGCCGGCAAAGAGATACTGAGAGGCCGGCAACGGCACGGTCCAACTCCTGTCATTGGGGCTCTAATAGACGTTGATTGATATCAGTACTAATTAATTACTCCCTGCCACCACCAATCCATCACGGTCTCTCTCCCGGTTCCATTTATTAATGTTTCGTTTCGTTAAAGCAGAGTGGAATGTCTCAACTGCAGAAAACGAAAGCTACTGGTTTGTGTACCCACCAAGTCCAACCACCATGAGAACAAAAGGTAAACAAGTAATACTGATCCTGAATGATATGAAAACACCTTCTCTGCCGAATACATTTGGGTTCTTTCACTTCTATCAACTGCATTTATTAATTGCTGTAGTTGAACTCAAAGACAGAGGCGGAGTTCACAAAGTAACCATGTAATATTTGATAATAATATAGAGGAAAGCAACACAACAAGACAAGGATTTACATGGTTGAAACTCTTTGGTTTAAGTCTATTTCACAAAGAGATTCATCACGCTTAGCTAAGCTTCTCAAATTTTCACTCATGTCATTCTCATTCATCTACTCTATACAACATAGCTCCATATAAATTGTTTGGGAAGATTGGGGGTGGGGGAGGTTGGATATGGTTCTACATCTTCTCTATCCGATTCCTAATGGGGACCAAATTGAATAGCATGATGAGGAAACTTAGCAGTCACGAGAGAATAGAGATTTTGGCATCTACACTATTGTTACCTTAAAGAAGGGTAGGGAGAGTCGACCACTCGATCACTCCAAAATTCCTATCTTATCGTTGATACCGCTAAATCAATTATTTAGTTATTTCGAATTCTGTAGTTAAATCAAGAAAAATAAAACAAAACAACACTCACAACACACACATGACCACCGGCACCAGCATTAGCAGCCAGCCACCTCACAAGGCAAACCATGATGAAGCTAATGATAGGAAAGTGTGCGGTTCCCTCTTGTCCCCTCTATTTTTATCTGAGTTTTTACTGTCTCTTTTCCCCTTAGATATTTAGCTTCTTATGTAAGCCCTTCATGAAACATGGGAGAAGTTTAAAGATACGTTTTTACCTAATATGTACTGGCCATTCATTATAAATGAAGCTCTCTTTCTAAATTTGTAAGTTTCTAAATGTTCAAAAACGTCACTCACACTAGCTCGTTGGTCTCTTGAAACGTCCTGGAGTTCTCCGCTCCAAGAGCTAAAGACCAAACCATAAGCTGAAGAAGACAAAAGGAGACTGCCCACATAAAAAGGAGTTACCCAGAGAGATTCCAAGATTTGTTGCACAGCAAAATTTTGTCCTGTAACGCTCGATGTAAACAACGAGCGTTTAATGGTGAAACCTAAGTTTTGTTGGCGAATCAACAGTTTTCTTCCTCTTCAGGAACCATGCTAGAAAATGATGAAAGGTTGGCTGTAGTGGGAAGGAGCAGAAGACTCTCATTGGCTGCGACGTTATGGCGAAAATGCTTCCTAAGTGGTTGAAGAGGGAGAAGAAGAAGAAGAAGAAGAAGAGAGCTGACTGTAATTATAGTACGAATCTAGTTACAGGTATCTAAGCTCCAAATGTGTGCATATACTTGATCCTTAAGTTCATTTTCCTCAGGGTTCAAAGGTTCTTATATTCCTCTCAGGTCTTCTTAAGTACTTCAATTTTGCTGCAGATGAGAGTGAAGATGGAGAGGAGGAGACAGGTGATCATTTTTTCGGGTCGATCGATACTGATCCATGCATTCCAACTAATGAGTTAAGGTAAAGGTTCATGTTATTCTACTCATTAGAAAAAGAAAGTTCAGGTTCTCCTGATAAAGCTTATTGGAAGAACAAGGACAGGGCATGAAGAAAATTCTCTTATATATGTGCAGAGTATTCATTGGGACATGGAATGTAGGTGGAAAGTCCCCAGTGGGAAACCTAACTGTAGATTTGGAGGAATGGCTGAATCTCAAGGAGGCTGCTGATATCTATGTTCTAGGGTAAGAAAAGATAACTACGTACGACCAGGGATGGAGCTCTCTCTCTCTCTCTCTTTTCTATCCATCAAACTTCCTATTAAAGGTTTGAGAAAAAATTTGTCTATCTTTGCAGGTTTCAAGAGATGGTACCCTTGAAGACTCTTAACGTGCTGGGATTGGCAGACAAAACTGAAGCGACGAATTGGAATCTATTGATAGAGAAAGTACTCAATGCATATGGGGGGAGAAGTAGCAACAAGTACAAGATGATGGCAAGCAAGAGAATGGTGGGAGTTTTTATATGTGTGTGGATGAAGAAAGGGGTACTGAGGAAATACAGTGTTTCCAAAGCTAGGGTGAGTTCTGTGGCTTGTGGCATCATGGGATGTTTGGGGAACAAAGGTGCAGTAACTGTTAGCATGTCTATTGAAGGAGTTAGTTTTTGCTTCATAGCTGCTCACTTGGCTTCCGGTGAGAAGAAAGGAGATGAAGGGAGAAGGAATCGTCAAGTGTTAGAGATCTTCCGACGAACTTCATTCTTACTACCATCTAAAGATGATCCTAATGATGACCACTACCACCCGCCAACCATCCTGGGACACGAGTAAGTTCTCTAGTGTTTTGTTTTCTAAGTATATGCAATTAAAGGAGCTATAAGATGATGATGCAGAGTTTTCTGAGATATATCAATAAATTATGCAGTAGGATATTTTGGTTCGGGGATCTGAACTACAGGTTGTACCTGGAAGATCACTTGGCAAGGGACCTGGTCAGCAAGTATGACTGGGAAGCTTTGCAGGCATATGACCAGCTCCGGTGCGAACTTGAAGAAGGAGGAGCATTTGAAGGTTGGAGAGAAGGCAACCTTGAATTTGCGCCGACATACAAGTATTCTGAATCGAATTGCGATCGATATTCTGGCAGCTTCGGGGGGAGATCTGGAGAGAAGCAGAGGACACCTGCATGGTGATTCATTAGTTAAAAATAAATCACTTGACTATTCTATCTATTATTATCTGCTATTGATGGGCAAATGATAAAAAAAAATTAATGAAACGCAGGTGTGACAGAATCTTGTGGTGGGGAGAAGGGGTGAAGCAACTTTCATATTTTCGTTCTGAAAGCATGTTCTCTGATCATCGGCCTGTTTCAGCATTGTTCTCCATGCAAGTAGAAGTCAGAAAGGAAACAAATCAGAAAGTGTTTCCAGTGAATGCTACTGAGTTCCGACCGCCTGAAAATTTGGTGAGTTTACAAAAGTCAGCATCACAATTGCAATAATGACCAGCGTGTAATTCAGACCTAATGATATCATATTTTGTGTTTCAGCTGCCAAGAAACAGTGAGGAAGACAACAAACCTGCTACCTTGCTATCCATGCTTGAAAGGGATATAGACGAATAAAAAATATAGATAGACACAAAAAGCTGTTGCAAAAGCGAAGGATACAGGTTTGTACACAGGGCTTCTGGCTTCTCATGCTGTACCAGGTTGCCTTGAAGGAGATGCAACCTTCCCAGATGTCCACCTCTAGTTCTTTTTGAACTCGCTGTTCTTTTCACTGTAGATAGCATTGTTATGCACAACCTGAAGACAAATGTATACAAGGGCTGAAGGCCACTAAGAGTAACTTAGTGTTCATAGAAAACATTCATTCATCGCTACACCCTGGATATGTCGGACTAAAGAAGAAGACAGCCAGCTGCTACTTTGTAAACAGTTCAACAAATCAAGAACATTCTTTACAAGCTTCTTCAAGAGATATGAATTAGGAAACAGCTTTATCAATATCAACATAGGATCTATATCTATCTGACATCATTGTTCGAATTGAAGGTAACCAGCCAGTCGGTTTAACATGACCTACAAATGTTCTCGTGCTACATTCAACTACAAGAATGCAGTAACATGACATAAAATTTGTATAGGGGATCAAATTTAAAGAAGAGTGTCGCCAAGCTCCTCCGAATTATCCTTGTGGCAACTTGGACAAACACATCACTTCTGCAGCTCATCACCAAGAACAGTGCATTCCTGTTCTAATTCAGAAGTCTGCTTGTGTCAGGTCAAAGAAATAGATTTGGAGTTTACTTATAAAGAATCATGTTTCATCAGGCATTTCTTGATAAGAACGGTAATTTAGGGCGGGTCAAGACTGAAAGATTATATGCTCCTCAATAGAATTGGATTTATAGAGTGAAACCTCAAGACTGATTGTGTATTACCTCTATAGGTTTTTTTTTTAATTCTAAGAACACAGTCTAGAATCCATCAAATTCTAAAAGAAAGATGGAAAATCTGTAGATAGAACCAAGGATATCTTCTTAAATCCTGCAATGCTTCACTCTCTTTCATTATCATCTCTACCAAAGAAATCTTCCCCTCAAGGTCACCATACTCCAGCTGGATCTGAACAGTAACCATATCAGACATGCAAGATCGTTGACCACATATTTTAAACCAGAGCAGCAATTTCTTACTTGCTTCTGAACATTTTCCTCGGCTTGGTATGCTTGTGCCTCCTTTGCTATCTCAGAATTGACTTGTGTAAGCACAGCATCAAGATTTCCTTGATCAACTTCAGTACCTGTCTTCTCTGTACCAGAGGCCGAAAACAGTTCCACATCAAAGTCAGAACTACAAAAGAGCGAGATCAACTACATAACAAACATAACCAAGGAACCGTAAAAGATAATCATTAGGAGCCGCAATCACCAAGCTTATGAACACTGAATAGGCTGCTTATGAGGGAAAGTGAAGGACAAAACTCAAGTGCATAAGAACGGAAGAATTTTAGGTTCCATGGCCAGCCCATAGATTCACAAATGTGCAGATGATCACCTGCAGCAGTCTCACTTGATACCATCTGGTGGAAATTCCTACATGACGCACGCATAAGTCGAGGTCTCAGTTCACTTGTCAAACTGAACAATCAGATCTGAATTGAATGCTTCTGAAACATGCATAATCACCATCTAGAGATGACAAAACCAAGCATAACATATGCATCTTGCCACTAGGACACTCTCTTCCCTATATCAGACGTAAAAGCTAGCGCCTAGTTAAAGAATATACAAAATGTACAGGCCAACCTTAGCCGAGAGTTGACCTCCAACATCTGGCGAATGAAATCATCCCTGATTTGAGAGCCACAAAGCATTACAAGCCGGAAATTTAGTAGGTATTCTACTCAATCAGCTAAAGAACTGAAGGCTATTGAAAGCAAAGCAAACTGTTCTTACCGTAAAGCTCCTCTTTGGTTCTTTACATCCAAGCACCATTCAAATGAAACAAACCCCCAAAAAACAAGTGAAATTAGGAACAGTGTCCGAGTAGAGTAATTGAAAGCTCCAATCCTACTGATAAACTACAAGAACCTAAGCATTTCGGCTCGGTTACCTTAAGCTTCTCCAGTTCAGATCCGGCTGCGGAGATCTGATTTTGGAGCAGAGAATTTCTCGACTGCAAAAACCATTTGTGAAACCTCACTATACCGCCAAAATTCAATTTGGATCACAGCTAAAAGGAAGTTACTACAACCGCTTGGAAATTTCTTGAAGCAAACCTGCATCGTCTGAACCGAAGCATCAAGCATGGATAATTCAATCTCGTAGCCTTTGAGCTTCTGTTCAGCACTCTCCTTGAACCGCTTAGCCTGGTCCACCTCCGCATTCACAATTTCAAGCTCGGAGTGGAGGTCTTGATCTCGTTTCTTCGAACCAATCAGTCTTCTCTCTGCATGAACTCATCGCCGATTTCAAGAGAATTCAGAAGTCGGACAGCGGAAAACAGCAAAATAGCCGCAGCTACTATTGAAAAGCTTCTCTGAGTTTGGATTTTGCGCTAAGGCTGAAGAAGAAAGAAGGAAGAAGAATGTAAGAGAATCGTTCGGAAGTGCCTACCCCCTTGCGATTTCTCAGAGACGCAGTCGCGAATCAGAGCTAGGAGCTGCTCCTGCTCGGTTCCCGCCATTGCAATGCTGCTGTGTGCTGTGCGCCTGATTGTGACTTGTGATTGTGAGCTTTCTTCGTGTTTTCTTTTTTGAAGTGAGTTTATATTGTAGCGTTTGTGTTTGCGAGTTGCCGTGAGTTTAGTCTTACCTTTGGGCTTATTGGGCTTTCTCGAAGATGGATGTGGAATATGGGTACGGGATAATTCGAGATTGGGCTTCAATTAATAAGTGTACGATTCGGAAAGCCCGTAATATTTTTACGAATAGCTTTCTGCTCCTTGAAAACAAGAAACCTTCGCAAGCGGAAGCTTTTAAACGGAAACAAACAACAAGGCGGTCGGCTCTGAACTTCTGATCAAAGAAAAGATAGACATGCCAAACATCCAATCTAGCCATCTTCCTCCACCACCTCCTCGTCGTTCCAATTGCCACTACTGCTGCTACCGCCGCCACCGCAGCAAATGCAGAACCACTCCTCGGAGTAGAAATCACCGCCGGAATCACTGCTTTCTCTAGACAACGTATTTTCTATACTCTGATACGCCATCACTCGGCCTTCTTCTTCCCCGTCGTCCATGAGAAACGCACCCAGATACTTGTGTTCCCCAATCACATTAAAATCCCCCTGGTACGCTGCGAAATACGTGGTGGGGATTTTCATTTTTGCCCCCAGTCACGTCGAATCCAGGACAGTTTCTCAACGTCCTTCATTTTTATTTTTAATATTTCTGAAAATGAGGTAGAAGTAATAAAAGTTTAAATTTTATTTATATTTATTTTTTAATAGCCACATCACTCATTTAACGGTCAACTATCATAAGAGTTGACTATCACGCTAGATAAATTTAACGAAGACTAATGGAGATTGACCGAACTTGAACTATTGAACTAATCTTAGTAACTACGAATGAAATAAAATATTTTAATTACCAAACATGACATTTTTAGTAAATTAAGTGATCAAAGAAACGGGATGATATTCTCATATTTTGACTGATCAAACTACCCCAGAATTTTGAAAGGACAAAATATAATAAATTTCAAACTCGGGCGAGTTTGTGTGAATGTAACTAGTCTAATGCTTTCTACTTTATAACTAAAATTCATCCCCTTTTATTGATCGAAAATCTAGGTTCATTCGATTAAGTGATTCAATCTATATTAGTTATCCTTACACATGAATCCAAATAATGAATTGTAGTTGTAAAAAAAAAAAATGAATTGTAAAAATACATTTTTGTTCTTACGATACCATAGTTTGAATATTCAACTAATCAGGCACACCACCGATCTTTGAAAGTTCTTACTAAGAGTATCACTCAAACATGACATTCAAAGTCCTTGTTTGACTGCTACGAGACAGAACTATCGATCAAGAAAGAAGAAGAAAAAAAAGCAGCTTAACCATTCTAATCAGTGTAATAATTAATTACTTTCCCATTGTCTCCAAGCAAAAAGTGCTTTGGAGTTTGGCCTATATAATCTGTATGATGATTACGTTGGAGTGTCCCACTTTCTCATTTATCTAACGGATGTGGATGAATGATATCCATTGTTTTGTTGTTTGCTTCTTTACCCTACCCGAGGAACGAATAAAGCTACAGAGATCTGGCATTTGTTTTTTTCGCCTAGCTTTCCAGAAAGGGAAAGGGAAATCGTACAGTGCAGGGGAACAGAGGAAGGGGAAGTATCAAACAGTTGAGTCACTTTGTTTTGTTAAATAGGAAGACAAGTTGCGACCTTTGATTTGATACCACAGCCACAGGGACGGACATCTGCTAATTAAGGGCGCACTAAACACTAAAATGGCCTCCTCCACTTCCACAAACGGAAACCTTTTCTTCTACCGCTTCATCATTGAAATGGCGACCGTACAGCACGATGGATGCAACTCAGTAACATTTATTCATTTTTCTTGAGAAACTTCGTCATAAATGACAAGGGATGATACAAGTTCATGAGCAGCAACCGCTTAAATGGATACAACATCTCTATAATACTGGTTATTTATCGCATGTGTAATGGCGAATCCTGACCCTTAGGAACATTTGGTGAGAACTTTGAACATAGAACTTTATGAATTTAAAACCTGTGAATTTACTAATTCCATCGAATAAGAGTTTCTCAAGTATGATGTTTCTGTTAGAAGAAGAAGTCCGAATGGCATCAGGATTGGGGTTAGGCGCCAAAGCTTCAAGTTCAAAGTCTGTCAAGTGATACTATGTCGTTTAAGTTAAGTCTGTCTGTGTAATAATCAATACTGCACCATTTGCAGTGTGTCCTGTGTCAGTCCTTGAGTTTCTGTCATAGTTCGTTTTGAGTCATAGTTAGTTGAGTTAGTCGTTGCCTCTGTTTTCATAACTGGACCGAAAGCTGAACCGGAAAGGTTCACGGTTCACGGTTCAATGGTTAACCGTTATAAAACCGTTGGTGAACCGTTTATAGAACCGTTCACACATATAAAATAAAAAGACACATAGTGAGATAGCTTGGAGGAACTACAACTGCACAGGTGATGGATCAGAGTGAAATAATACCTGCTTGTGGAGCAGCCGAGCAGTGCGATGGAAGTAGAATGACTGGACGAGCTGAGGGTTCGCCGGCTGTAGCTAGAGAGGGGGAAAAAGGAGCAAGCGCTAGGGTACAGAAACAAGAAGAGAAAGTAGATACGTAGATATTCTATTAGGATTTAGGGTTGTAACTTGAAAGTTTGTTTCGGGTCGGCGACGATTCAAGTTTCGTATCTTTGTTTTCAAATTTTTTATTCTTGAAGTAGCGGACCGCATGACCACTTAGACCAACCGGTTCCCCCGGTTCAGTTACAGAATGTCCAAAACCGCACGGCCCAATATTAGTCGTGTGACTACATGAGCCGAACCGATATCAGTGTCGGTTGGCAGTTCTTCCGGTCCGGTTCACCGGTCCGGCCCGGTTCTTACAACAAGGGTCGTTGCGAGCTTGTAGCTCAAGTAGTTGGTAGTGTTAGCTGAAAACTAGGATCGTGGAGTTAAGGTTGTTGATTGCAGTCTGTGATTGGGGCTGGCAACATCATCCTCTTTATATTTCCAGTTGATCATTAATAAAACCTCATCAGATTGCATTGAAAGTGTTTCTACAATTTCGACGTACAATCACTTCTTTTGATATAGTAAACTTTTTTGGTTTTTTGCAAGGTTGTCAATCCGCGGGTCGACCCGAACCTGATCGAGCTAGTGGGTCAAGGGTTAATGGGTCACCCATTTTGACCCATTTTAGCTCAAAAATATATAAAAAAAAGTCATTATATTGTACTTATTTTGAATCCAACATTAAAAAAACAACCGTACTTAAACTCCAACACACTTAAATAACATCAACTTAAATTCAACATAGTAAAAATTCAACAACACTTTGGAACGAGCAGCCGGCTGACCCGCTCGGACGGGCCAACCGCCTGGGTTTTCTCGGGTTTTACCATTTTCGGGCTAACTCTCAAATGAGCTAGTTTAACCCGTTTTCAAGACCGGGTCCGAGCCAACCCAGGCCAACCCGCGGATTGACAACCTTGATTTTTTGTGTTAATAATTCATGTGAGAGATTGAATGAGTACTAGCAAACTAGGTTTCGTCAAAAAGAAGTGGAAAACCAATCAATATATCCACACGATCGATATAATATATACATATAATGACTCCCAATTCTGTCAAAAACCATTAAAGCAAACATTATCATTAGCTCATGTGGACAGAGTCATGGGTTAAAATGGAAGTGTCAAATGTTACCAAAGTGGTGGATAAACCAGCTGGAGGATAAAAAGGTAGCCACGTCACTATTTTGCTTAGATATGATAACTAAAATTTCTACATCAATTAAATTTTGATAGAGTTGAATTCACGTCACATGAAAATTAATTAACTATTGAAATGCTTAGTGGTTAGTGGATCAGGACAATAAAATAAGAAGAGGAGAGAAGCTCAACATCTGTGGAATCGTGGTCTAGTTTCGGGTGTACGAGAGATCACCCCATCCTTGAACGGTTGTGTCTAAATTACAAAATAACTTTATTCAAATTACTTATGATTTTATTTTTTTTATATCATATTTTACTTATAATAAAGATGTAATCATGGGACAATCTTAATGTATTGAATAATTTAAATTTAGTTTTCATTTCATAGTTTGTTTCTCGATTTTGCTGAAAAATTATTTCAAATATTATCTTTTAAAATACTTATTTATATGGGCCCACCTATCCAGATCCAAAAATACACTCGAATTGTCACGAGATGAATAAGAGTATCAAAGTACCTAACATTGCACATTGTGATTCCTATTATCCATGTGACTATGTAGTATGTACTTTCCCATATTCCGTCACCTTTCCCATACCATGACCCCAACGATTTCTTTTCGGAGGAACCCATTCGATAGAACAATGTTGTGTACGACACCACAATCGCCAACCAATCTGTTTTTACGTAAAAAAACAAGGACCAATTTTGCTTTAACGATCAATCCAGTTTAAGCCTCTATACTGGTGATCTGGGAAAGCTGCATGCATGCATCTCTCCTATCCTATATATACATCGAACACAGCTCAAAGAACAAGCAGCTGATGGTACGGTCGCTTTTGTGAAGTAGCTAGCTAGCATATTCTTTTTCAGACAAAAACTTTGGTTCCCAACAAAAGCATTTACTTTTTTAGATAACACAAATTTGCAGGTGCATGTTGATGTATGCTTGATAGACATGATTTAGATTCTATTTTGTTGAAGTTTTGATCTTGCTGCCCGATATCGATTGATGGAATGATATAGGTTTAAATGAGAACCGCTAGAAATTTGTGTGAGAATTTTAAGAAGTGGAGAAAGAGATGTCGAACAAAATTAAGGTTTGCGAAAGAACAAAATGGAGAGGATTAGGTAGAGATTGTTGAAAAACTTAATTGTTATTGGCTCTGATCAATAGATCCACATCAATTGAAATTTTCAGCGAGCTAAATCCACGTTCCGTGAAAATCAATTCTTGAAACGCTTAGTTGTTAATTAGTTGCTCTGCTCAATAAAATGAGAAATATGTGAACTGAAC